AAGGGTAATGTGAAATTCCTCAATATTACCTTGGAGTCTGCTTGATGTGATGCTAATAAACTTGCAGTTTTATTCTTAGATGCAGAATTCAAAGTTTTGGGTTGCTTATACATAGTGAAATTGCAAAAATGCATTAAGTTAAAGCAATCTGAATTGTTATTGATGTGTTGCTCTTCCTCAGATCATTAAATGAATTACAGATTGACCTTTTCTCTCCCTTAAGTTTCTCATGTGGACAATCCAGATAGTGAGATGGTGCTTTACTTAATGTTACGTGCTGTGGATAGATTTTTTAAACACCATGGAAGATATCCAGGTAAGCTTATTTTAATAATACCCAATTTGCTTTACCATTTTCCAGGGCGGTGGCCGTGGTAGTTCATGCAGCATTGCTTTTTGTTTTTTCTGCTCCACAGGTCAAACAGAAGCTTTAATGCCAGCAATTTATTTGAGTGTAATATAGATTTAGTGAACAAGTATTCTAGGAGATGATAATTTATACGGTTAATAATATTCAGTGTTACAGGTTCTTGAATATGTAAACTGATTGCAAATCTTGGTAAGGGGGTCTTACCATTATTAAAATTCTGTGTATTTGATGTATTAAATTGCAAAGATATAATCGAGTCTGGTAGTAAAACTTCCTACTTCACCTTTTATCTTTCAAGAGTATATCCTGTTTTTGTTACTGAAATGTTAGCTTTAAGTATAATTGATTTTTCTCCCCAGGGGTTTATAACTACCAAGTGGAGGATGATATTGGAAAACTGAAAATTTGTCTCAATAGTTTTCTTCAAGAATATGGGTTACCTGTAACAGTGAAGGATGACTATATCCATGAGTTGTGAGTATCATATAAAAGAAAAAAATATCACTTTCCTCAGTCTTATTTATTACAACATTTTATGCCATTTTTCTCACCATGCCTGGAGACTCAAAGTGGCTTAGCAGACAAAGCATAAAACCAAACAAATCAACTTCACAGGCTATAGCAACATCATGTCCTCATCTCCTGCACAACCATAGCATACTACTTAATATTCTTCAGCTGCCTGCCTAAATAAGACAGCCGTATGCTGTCCACAGAATTGGGCTATGGTATTTATTCGGGCAGGCTGTTCCAAAGAAGGACAGTATAACACAAACAAAAAAAATTCAAAAAAACCTGGATTTTAAAATAGAGAACAATAATAAATACATCACAATACATCCAGTAAACAATGAAATATAGGAGAAACGGGCCTGAAACGTTTCAGACATGTTAAAATGACAGCCTATTTCCTTTGGGAAAACTGTCTCTCCTGAACAGTTTTGGCTGCAGTAGAAGACTCTGGGAAGACCTGAAATGGTACACAGGTTTGTCCTGTTACGCTGTCCTAAGTGTGACAACTGCTGTTTTTCTTGTACAGCTGTCGCTATGGAGCTGCTGAGCCACATACCATTGCTGCGTTTTTGGGAGGTAAGAATCCTGTTACTGATCTACTGAGTGGACA